TGTATTTTTAAATAAAGTAATTAAAAAAATAATAAATCAATGTAAAAAAAAATTAACATTTAGATTTAAGTTATTTTATATTAGATATCTGCACCTCACAAAATGAACCAATGTAAATTTAAATTAATGCCCATTTTGCAAAAATATGATGATGCTACCACCATAATAAATAAAAAAGAAACTACCACTGTGATATAAACACATGCTTGTACCAGTCAGCTCTGCTGTCATCACCACTATGGTCAAAAGTTCAAAAGTACGCATTAATAAAAGAAACTCTATAAGATATATCTATATATAGAGAAAGACTAACAGATAAAATAATATATTTTAAAAAACCAAATGATTAAAAACTTTTAAAGGAAAACGTCGCCTGTTTGCAATGGAACTGCGTTCTCTGGAAACAAACAGATCCACACTTCTTCTCACATATAGCAGTTTATACGTTTATTAAAACCTTTTTTTAAATACTCTGCAAAATATTTTCCCTCTCATTCACCCCACCCGCAGCAGTCAACCGTTTACCATCAGCAGCCTCCGAAAGCTTTTACCGGCACGTCGCTGCTAGAGATGATTTCCCACCCGTAGCATATCACAGTGTCTGGACCAACACGATGCCAAACCAGAAAACCACAGAGGGTGCACCTGGAGGAGAACTGGCAGCGACACAAAGAGCTGATACTCTGAAGTAACTCTCCCAGTAGGTTTTAAACTCAGCTGGAGACATTTTTGTGATAAAAGCATCAAATTTCTGATCTTTTAGCAGCTGACTGAAAGCGCTTTCCACCCTTTTGACCAAACAGGACAACAGCAGCGGGTTATTTAGAGCAACAATCAGACATTTACTCCAGGGTTTACCTTACAGCCTCAAATCAAGGTGCCAATCAAGAGAAAACACAACACAGTACTTAAGCCCTCTGTGAAAGGCAAGTTTAAAGGAGGTCTGTGAAGGCATTTATTGAATCACTGGTCTCCTGCTGTCTCCAACAAATAAAGGCTGAAATTTTGCCCTTTATTTTCTCTTGATCCCAGAAACAAAAAGAGAAAAATGTCCATTATGTTACATTTGGCTCTTGTTTAGTTTGAACAACAGTCCAAACCACAGTTTAGTATCATACACGTGAGGAAAAGGCATCGCATTTTAAAAGCTGAAGCCTACAAATGTTTCTGGCTGATTTTACTTACATGCCAGATTTTTTTTTTTTTTTTAATTGAAGCTACGAAATACCCATGTTTTTAATATATGTCATCACATGTATCCATGGACCACTTGGCTTTAAAAAAAAAAAGATTCACAGAGATTTCCGTTTTGGAAACATCTCAAAGTTTGTTTAAAATAGCTCAAAGTTCAGTTATAAATACTCGCACTGAATTAAACAACAACTCCTGCAGGTTCTTCTCGGACACAACAACACTACAGAAACAGCTTGCAGAGTTAAATTCTTTATCTGGTTTCTGTGCTCACAAACAATAAACTCCCTTCCCTACAGACTCTGGCAGTTTTAGTTCACGCGAGGAGAAACAAATATTACCATAAGTGGCTGGTTAAAGCATAAGAAAGGTCTCCTTTTTACATTTTCTAAACCAGGTGCTTCCCTAACCGCGGTTACTTCTGTGCCAAAATAATTTTCCAGTATAGCCTCCCGTCCCACATGGTGGCATGACACTTCAGAGTTGAAACAAAACGCACTTTTTTTAGGTTTTCTCCAATGAATTAGCAGAAAACTTCAAAGTTCAAATATCCAGGGTACCTTTTTTCTGTTCCTCTATGTCACTGACACGAAACTGATGCAGTTATGCATCACTACGGTCATGCATAGTTTAATTATGCACTGCAGAATTAAACTATGACATAACACATAACCCGATGTTCAAATTTTTAGAAGCAAATATGTTGTAATAACACAAAATTTGGCTTTAGACTGTGACACTCTGACAGGTGTAAAAGGTGTAAAATAAATCTGACTGCGGGGTATCTCCTGCACTTAGTAAGTTCTGGTGAGTAAATAAAGCCAAATTTCCATCCACCCCTGAATTTCCAGGGGCTGTCACTTGGTAAGATTTTCAGATTTTCAGATTTTGTATAGCTTCATTAAATATACTATGCAATTAAAAGCAGCTGATTCTGAGGGGGTCAGATGGGACCTTTGGCTGATTTTATATGACCACATTACAATGCAAAACCCTGCCTAAATGAAACAAAAGTGTAGATAAACCCTGTTTTATTCTACTTTCATCCAGTTTCTGTTTTTGTGTCGGTTAACTAAAATGTTTTTGCACACTTAGTTTAGTTTCAGTTTGCTTTAATAACCTTGGCTGACCGCTGCTTGAAGCAGGAGCGTGCATGTTATTTAAACTCCGCTGCAGTCAGCAAAGCTATGCATGCACAACACTTGATAACTTTTGAGCAGCGTGTATGTCAACATGAAAAGTATGCAAAGCCGAAAAGGCGAAGGCGCAGGGCTATTATGCAGCAGCTGCCGTGAGGTTTGGCAGAGGGGAATAAGTTTGGAGAAGGACTTACATAACCTGTTTACACACTAATACCAGGTCACAAGTGAGCAGTGACAGATATAAAGCTTGCTGGCATCGATTCATATCACAAGCACATGGAGACAGGCACGAATCTGCAGCTCCAGCAGAGAGCCGTCACTCTATCACAAGCTGGAGGGGATTTCAATAGTTTAGGCTCCAGATGTTATCGCACACAACCAAAACAGTATGTCAAAAAACACCTTTCAGGGAGTGAGGAGTTCTTATTTATTTAATTTCATTTTTTTTAATACAGCGATTGCAACTGCTCCAACAGCTGAGTATCCAAACATAGCCATAATGTCAGAAGTGACACGGTCGGGCCCGTTCAGGAGGAGTTCAGCCTTCCAGCTGTCACACCTGACAGCGAGGTAAACACGCCCTCTGGATGTGCACACGCCAAGATATTCCACAGCTCCACATACTCAAACAGCTCCAACACGAAGCCCAAACACGGCTAAACCTGCAGCGCTCTCCGAGCACGCCGCTGGATTTGTTTGGCTAGCGGCTGTGAGGCGCGAGCCGCCCGGGCAGCCACCGAGGCGGACTGCGGGGGAGAGCACTTGGCACGAATACGAGCGGATTTAAGTGCTAAATTAAACCCGGGAGAGCACGGGGAAGGTGGCAGCAGCACAGAAACAAAGTGAGACCTGACATTACCTTCATTCGGGGGCGGTAGAAGACGGGTTATTGCGGGAATTGGCAGCGACATGCAGACGCGGCTGTTGAACCCGTTTAGACCCTGAACGTCTCGGAAACAGAGGGAAGAACAACAAACGCCGTTTCCGCTCGTGCTCGCACACACACACCGACCACGCACCCACCCAGGGCTTCTTCTTCCTCTTCTTCCTCTTGTTAACTTTGGTGCATTAGCGCCACCAACTGGTAGGGACTGGAGGCCATAATGTCGCTCAAAAAACAAAACTAAATAAATAAATAACTTCAAACCAGTTTTTATAACTAAATATGACCTGATAACTTTCATTTCTGAATTTCCATTGCAGTAAATCGATAAGATCTGTTTTAACTTTGATTACACTGAGTTTTTGGTTTTGGATCAGCTACCTTCGCTCACCTTCATATTTCTGTTCCCTGGTTTCATCATTTCAACAATACTCCCATTGCAATTACCTGTTTGGTGTTTTCCTGCTATGAACGATTAATTGTTTTAACCACTGTGTCGTGAATTTGAGTCGTGATGTATCCCAGTCCTTTCTGTCATCCTCTCCTGTTTCTTCTTCTATTTTCTTTTCTTTTCCTGTAAAACCATCATCCTCTCGTTTCTCCCTTCCATAGCTTTTCCCAGTTTTCCTTCTTTGGCTGCCTCATTATACCTCCTTTGCAACCACATTTTTGGGGTAGCTGTGGCTCAGGAAGTAGAGCTAGTTCGAGGTTCGATCCCTGGCTGCTCTAGTCTGCATGCCAAAGTATCATTGGGCAAGATACGGAGCCCGAGTTGCTCCTGATGCATTCAGGAGTGTGAATGTGTGTGAATGTAAGACAGAAAAGCACCTAAATGTAAAAGAAAGTGTTTGCATGAATGTTTGTGAATGGGACATGTTGCACAAAGTGTGTGAGTGCTTGAGCAGAAAAGCACCACATAAGAACCAGTTCATTTGCCCTGTTATTTCCTTTTACTCCATAATGTGCTGATATCTGTGAAAAGGTAACCAGAAGCCCATCATACTGATTCTGCATAGCAACTGCTGAATCTCTGTTAGAGTGTCTGGTCTGCTGTCTGATTAACTGCAGTGTTACTGTACCTGCAACGCTGCTGCTGGGCTGTTTAAAATGCACCTGTGCAAAGCCTTAAACCCTAAATGCAGGTAAACTTTAGGAAGATGTTTTTCTTCATTTGCACCAGGATGAGATGAACCTTCAATAGAAAAAATGATTTAACCCTGAAAATGATGGACCACCTGCATCATCAAACTTCATGGCAGTGACGTTACTGTATCCTCAGGCAGAAAAATCATGTCCTGTTTGAACACTAGATGTCAGCACGGGTCCAAAATATGTTTCTTGTGAAAACTGACACTATAAATACACCAGAAATTATTCTTGTGAAGGGTAAAAATATCAGATGTACACTGAAACCATTATTGTACATCGGACTGACTCGAGAAAAACAAAAAACATTATTCACTGAGTGTTGCAACAGTTTCATCATAATCCGGAATAAATCACTTAAAAAACAGAAAGTCAGTGGGCAACAACTAAAAAACACTTCCTCTACGGTTAGAGACTTTTCACTGTGTAGAAACCTACACTGAAAAGCGGAT